TGAATCGTCTCTCTTAAACTGAAACAAATGAATACGTCTGAAGATGGTAGAACTGTTTTGAAATAATACAACTTTTTTTACAAGTTTTTTTACTATTATTTGCAAATATAATAATAAATCTGTATTTTATTTTGTCTAAAAACTAGTTTGCCTAGTTCTTAGATGCAATACATTATTTGCTGATATAATCTGTATTTTCTTGGTATTTTGCTTTCAAAATCTGTAAATTGTATATCCTTTACTAACTTTTCCTTATCTTCATACAGAAAATTTTTGAGTATATAAATTTAATGATTTTCTACAAGTCTCTTATCTGTAAAGTTTTTTTTTATCTCCAACTTGAGTAAATATTTGTTTTTTTCCCATCTTTTAGAGCATTAAGAGACAGAAAGTCTTGGTTGTATTGATTTACGCGGCAATTTTTTGCTTTTCATAAAAAAATAATGAAATTTGATTATATAAATATAAAAAATAACATTTGCACTTTAATTATTCTAAAAACATAAACTATGATTTCATATAAATTCAGATAAATTTCATATAAATTGTTATTAAACTTAGATACATTTACTATGTAAAATTAAAAATTAAATGAATGCGTAAATTTGAATATTAAAATCATTTATTATTATTAATAATTACAGTTTCAAAGATATTTTATTGGATAATTGTATATTTACATAATTTATTATTTAAAAAAATAAGTTGATATTGGATATGATCAAATATTATTTTATAATTGTTTATCAAAATCCGTTAATTAAATCAAACAAACGATTGCATTCCGCGATATTTTCCAATGCCCATCGAAGACCTGTTTGCTTGTATTGTTTATATACTTCAGCGAGCTGTGCTAATGGGGAATATGCAAATAACGTCGAGGTTGCGGACGAAAGGCCGTCCGTCGTCTTTACTAGGTGTTTAGGGAATATTTGCGCATCCCTGGAGCACGCAGCGAAATTTCCATAAACATTTTAATGAGACTCTCGACAAGATTGACAAGAAGCTATGACAAGAGTCGCTCTGTTTTCGCGTCTCGCCCTTTTGGCGCATTGTTTAACCTTGCCCTAATTTTCGGCTGACTCAAATTTGGTCTCCACATGATTCGAACATATAATATGCGTGTAACCTTGAACTCGATCTGGCAGCGATTTTCATAATGTATTCGCTTTTTATTTTCGTTCGTGCAAGTGTTTGAAACAATATCACTAGTCACATAAACTTATTGTGTTCACCTTTCCAATAACGTTTGCTATTTTACTTTATACATACATTATTGCTGTAACATTTTCCGTTATTCCTGATTTCAATATCTTGGAATAAAACCAATTTCAAAGAACTAAGACCGAATTTGCGAAGGTAATCTTTGCGAAATGAAAACTGGAATGAAATTGGCTTACTGAATAAATTTGAATAAACATGCAATTTGCTTTTTTTTAATATATATATAATATGTTTAGAAAACAGTTTGAGAGTTTATATATATAAACAAAATAACATGAAAATCGCAGTTTATCATAAAATTACTTGAAACACAACTCATTTAATTTTTTACAATTAAACTGAGATTTCTGCGACAATATTTTATCGTAATAATTTAATTACTGGAAATTTCTAAATTATAATATTATGACATTAAAATTATTTTTTTTTTTTTTTTCGTATAAAATTCAGCAATAATCCATGGATTTTTTTCCGTTAGAGACATTATTTATTCAAAAAGTAACAATATTTTTAGTTTTTGTTCCACAAATGTAGGACCTTTTTCCTAACACTAAAAATATTAGCTTTTATAACAAATAAATGATAAAATCAGTACTGCAAATAAGTGGAAATAAACGCTTTATTTCAAAATTATATTTTAAACGAAAAGACAAATATGGTATATTGCGGACTTTGCCAGTTGTTTTCTGAAGTTCGGGATCTACTAATTGTTGAATTTTCTTGGGTATGCTATTGTCATTATGAAAATATGATGTGTTTCTGGCAAATCACATAGAACATTGTGGATGTGGAATTGTCTCCAACTACTCAGGATAAGTATTTTCAATTCTTGGGAGAGTATATAATTGAAAAAAAAAATGAAAGAAGTAAAGAATCAAAATACTTTGATATTATAGAATATTCCACTCCTGATTTGCAATATCAGTTATAATTAGGTATTTTTTCCTATTAAAAGTCATAAAGGACTATAATTTCTTAAATTACGTGCAAGACGGATCCTTTAAAGTAAGAGGTACGTCTACAAATTAAGTTAAGAAAATAAATGAGAAAAAACTGGAAGTTCCATTCAAATAACAAAAACTCAGTGAATGCCATGTAAAGATTTATCTCTTGGGTATCATTCTCAGAAGAATAGCTGCTATAGTATTAATGAACTTGAATATGTATCTGCTATTTAAACTGCCGAGAACTTTACACGATCCCCGGGAATTGGCCAAATTAAAAATTAACGTATTATGGCTAATTGCTACACGGGAGAAACGCATATATACTTTGAAGGCTATATCTACGTAAAAATACTTCATATACACCAGAGAGTTTCATTTTAAATGCTTTATATTTATTTATTCGTTGATTAACTTATGACATTATAAGTTGGAGTCACTGCACTATGCGAGACGTAAATGCATGTTATGCATACCAACTATTATTTACACATGGCAGCAGTTTCCAATTACAGTTTCAGAGTTATCACACTCCATAAATATCAATAACCCTTGACAAACAATTATGTTGCATGTCATTTGTAATGAACATAAACCAGTGTAGTATTTTAATCATTCGAATTATATAACTAACAATTAAATATTTGGTATATCAACAATCCTACCGATATTCAAATACTCATGTTATTGAGATCATATTTTAAACATTTAGTGGATTCCAGAGTCATTTCGACGCGTATCAGGGTGGGCTCAGGAAGTGGCGGATTAAAGTCAACGAAACCAAATCCAGCCATGTCATCTTCACCTTCAAAAAGGGAATCTGCCCCCCGGTCACACTGAACAACAAAATCATCCCGCAGGCCGACGATACTTGGGCTTGTTCTTGGATCGCCGACTCACGTGGAAGAAGCACATCGCAACCAAGAGGAAGCAACTGGGCATCAAGTTAGCGAAACTGTACTGGCTCGTCGGCAAAAGATCTCCACTATCCCTCGACAACAAACTATTAATTTATAAGACAGTTCTAAAGCCGGTGTGGACGTACGGCATCCAGCTTTGGGGAACAGCCAGAAATTGGAACATAGAGATCCTGCAACGCTTCCAATCCAAGTGCCTGTGAAACCTGGTGCAGGCCCCCTGGTACGTGACGAACGATACGATACACAACGACCTCCACATGAACACTGTTAAGAGTGAAATCCCCATATTCAGTGCCCGTTACCAAAACAGACTGGAAAACCACCCCAACAGTCTCGCGTTATCCCTCCTAGACAATAGTAACACCCCCCGCAGACTAAAGAGACACAACACTCTCGACATCCCCTTTAGAAAATAAAAGTTAGTTTTATTGTTTAAATTTTCATAGTGCCGTCAAAATCAATTTTTATTTGGGTTGTTATTGTCATCGAGTTATTCTTTTTTAGTTAAATTTATAATTGTTTATAGGAAGATTTCCGATGGGAAATTGTTCCGCTCCATGCTTTTTATTCACTATTTCGTAAATCTTTAACATATTTAATAAAATAAAATTATACTTAAGTCTTCTTTTTTTATATATCTGCTATCTGCATAATTATCATATATCCGATATTTAATAAGTTAAATGAATGATAATTATAATAATTCAATCGTATTTCACATTTAGTACAGGATCTTCAAATTTATAACCATTTTAGCATCAGGATAATACAATACCAATTCGGTAATAACATCAGAAACTTGATGACATTGTATTCGAATTTGTTAATATAATATACTATAATCCAAATTTTAACAATTTTAAAATCATTTTGGTTGGGGTAACATGATAGAAAATAATTTTGAAACCTCATACATATACATTACCTCATACATTACTTTACATATTTGATCTACTTGGTCCATTTACCTGTAATTTTAATTATTTTGTCTTTTGCCAAATAATATGTATTTCTGTACTGTTAAATGTTTACTTGCAGTTTGTAAAGTTTCTGTTGCAGTCATGAGATCTATTTTTTTTGTTTATAACAATTTTATGACAGTTTGGCCACCCCTGCTATATACCTATGATTCCTTGTCGAGGACTCTGCAGTTGGAAATTTTAGTGGCCTTTCTGCTTGTGGCCTTTCTGCTCTATTCATGACCACCAGGTAAAAACTTGCTATCCATTCCGTTAGAATGTTTCTTCTTGCATCAGTACGAGTCTCGCCCCATTCTGGGTGTTTCACGTTGCAATAGTATGTACTACTATTTTATTATTTAATATCCTTATTGCAGCATCTCTCCCGTGATCTAGAAACCACCCCCTGTACGTCTTAGCTTTATTTGTCTCGCTAATCACCAGGATATCAGCAGTCTTGTCTTTTTGTCTTGTCAGTAGAGTAGGCCGCTTTGCATCTATTCGCATTGAGTTGTATTAATTTAAACACCGCGCCTGATATTCCGCTGTTTTCCATTCAGCGCTTTACTATATTTGTTTTTTTTTAAACCTAGATGTTTTTTGCTGGTTAATATTTACACCAGAGAGTCGAACCGAAATTAATTTCGTTCTAAACCGGAACGTTACGTTCCAAGTAAATGTTTATCGTTTAGTACTGAACTGAAACCGGTTCAGTTTTGGTTAAAATTAAAATTTAAAATCGAAAACATAAACAATATAAATTAGTTAAAGTATTTTGATTAAATTTTATTTACCAAATTCGCTTCTTGTTATTGTTTTCAATTAATAGAAATTAGTAGAATATTTTATATTTCCTTACAAAACTCAAAGTGTTGAAAAAAATGTTTTCATTAAATTCTAATTGCTTCTCAAGATTTTCTGTAGATTTCATAATAAAGTAAGTGCATACTCACTGGTAAACTCAAACTCAAGGGTAGATTGCTTCCGTTTGCAATGTAGTGGAAGTATCCGACAGGTTGCATGCTCATGCGAAGAGTGCCGTTCATCTCTTGATCGTCGAGAAGCGCGACGACCGTGAAGTTACCCTCGGCGTCGCCGTTGGCATCGATGAACACCTGCGGGGTGGCAGCGTAGGTGACGGCATCGGACACGGCATCGGTGGTGAAACAAAAACAGAGAGAAACGCTCTTATTTATTTGGCCGCTCGTTTGTAGACTCCGTGCAAATATTTATTGTTTTCATGCGGTAGGAACGGTCAAACCGAACTAACATCGTGGCCCTGGATGGAATGGTACGAACTGTTGACTATCCTCTTCAGGATGGCCGTGCCGTTGCGTGGATCCTCGTTGTTCTTGAATACCTCTGTCAGGGCTCTCGCATAAATCATAACAGCATCGTACAGGTATGCTGCCTGAATAGGTACCTAAAATATGTAATATCATCGTTCATATTTTTTATACAAATTTTATCAAATTAAAGATTAAAAAAATGTCAATATTGTAAATATATTGTTTTTTCTATCCATATTCGATATGAGTTTGATATGGTTGAATGTATTTTTATTGATGTAACAATTTACTTACTAAATATAAAATTGGAACAAAATATCCTTTCTGAACATAGTTACACAATATAGAACAGCGTTAGTTACTTTTCTATCCTCTCACCTTGCATATGGAACAAACTGCTCTGTACAGATAATGTTAAGTACAATTTTTGTCTACATTTTAGTTATATATTGTTAATTATTTTATATTTATTTCTATAAATATTTCAATTATTAGACTTTATATTTTTTTTCAAATTCAACTTTGGTAATTACGAACATTATAAATATGTTTTTTAATATTATTGATAAACTGTCTATTTTATTACGTTTCTATCAATCCAATTGATACACATGTCTACAATTGAATGTAAATAATTAAACGATTTAATGAAAACCCGTAATAACTTTATTCTGTTTCCTGAAAATTAGATCTGCTAATTACAACATACATTACATTTACGGCCATGGATTTAATTACATAATTAAATTTCGTTGCAACTATTGTGGGTATTCCCTTTATGCGGAGCACTGTATGTGGACAACAAACATTCGTTCATTGTTTGCCAGTACCGGCTGCATACATTTTCCAATATTTGATTATACACTTCTGAATTGATCATCAAATTTAACAGTGTAGGCTTATACCAAAAAAAGGCGTTATATATAGGGTTTGTCGGTTTGTATATAATTCGAAAACCGATTTTTCAAGTATAACACCTGACTTTGAGGCTAGTTTTAAAATATAAAAATGAATTAAATAATATGTACAATATGTACAAAAAAAAACTAAAGAAATACAAACACGAGAAAGCAAAATTTAGATTTATTTTTAATGCTCTAGAAACGATTAAAAATATGAAATTAAATAATATTTTATAGTTATTTATGGTTATTCGTTTCGTTTATATAGTTTTCTATGAAATACATTTTATTTTGTTATAGATTTTTTTAAGTTGTAAAATCCTTTCTCTACTTTTTTTTTGCAAAAATTCGAAAACCGGTTTAAACTATTTTTTTTTAAATTCGATTTATGTATATACCATAGTTGAATATATTTTTAAGTATTTATGTCTCGATTAATATAACTTTAATTTGAAAATATAAGTTTTATGAGTTCTAAATCAAAATAATTTCATAATTATTCGAAATTAAAAGGACATAAACTATAAAATTATTAGTATAAATATCAAACAAATTATAAATCATAAAACTAAGTTTCCAGATTGATATGATTATCGCAGGATCCGGCTCTGGTTTGCATCCATTATCCTAAATTCCCTTAACCACGTCAATATGATACATTATCTTTTGTTGCGCTACTTGTTTGTCCTCACTGCCCAGTGACACGTGTTTGCGAACGTATACAGCTTGACAGAACATTAACAACAAATGCAACGACGGTAATATTATAGCAGACGCAAACAGTTTTTAAATGAAATATTCATATCCTAGATATGATACATATTTTATTCGACCATTAATCAATAAATTTAAATATTTCTAAAATTCATATTCTAAAATTTAAATCATATAACTTTAACATCAGTTATTTATTTATATTTTTAAGAAATTATATTATTTGAACTAAAAACTTTTTCTACATGAACCTATGAATCTATGAACCATCCAGATATATTATTTAATCTGTTTCAATTTTTCTCCCTCATTCTTATTTTTATATTGTCATATGAAGAACACAATTTGTCTACTTCCACAACATTTGACCAAATCTATAAATTTTTCTATAATTTATTCTCTATATTTTTTTGATATTATATTACAGAATGGTCATTTACTTAAATTAATGAAAAAATACAATAGTTTAAAAAATCACAATATTTTCATGCAATAATGTGATTATTGTAGATATTAAAAAAAAATCGATTATTTGAAACTGTAAGGTTACAAATTAAGAAATATATAAAACCATATTTTATGATTTCGAACGTCGGGATTTCGATACACTCGGGATTTCGAACGTCGGGATTCCAATACACTGGGAATTTCAAACGTCGGGATTTCGGTTGTCTGGCTTGCGATTGCCACCGCCGCCTGCTGCATCATTTTCAAAACGTATATATATTAACCATTTTTTTGTCATCTTTATATATGTATGTTTGCTATATATAAACAATGAACGCTTTTCTTATATAATATATAAGGTATTTAGATACCTCCATACAGACTCGGATCGATAAAAGTAATATAAACAAATGGAATGAGGCGTAAACTCACTTCAATAAAATAGGTAAACGGTTAGTAATTCTACTTACAACTTAGTATTGTTTGTGATCATAAATATTTCCAAATCTGTGTTTCGGACATGTTATTTGTGTTTTTTTGTGCAAAATTTAATAAAACTTGCATGTCTTCGAATAAAAAACCAAATAATAAAAATAACCATAGATTTGAAAAGCAAAATCATAAAAAGCGACACCAAGTTATACTTTTATATGGAACCCATTATCGTAGTTTATACGGGAAAAAATGTTTCAATCCAGAAATCCAGAACGGATTATGCTCATTAAGCGAGGTAATTCTAAATTCCCTTGCTTTTCCTTCATAGTTTACAACAGGTGCGGACTAGTTCAAAGGGAGGATCATTGGTGTAACCATGAAAACAATATTGAAAATCTCACCCCTCTTATCACATATGAAAAATATTGGTATTACCAAAACTATTAGGAATATTAAAGTAACTTTAAGAATTATTAAGAAAACTTTATAAACTTGTTTCAATGAAAAATCTATAGCAACAACACTCAATTAAGTGTAGTAACTTTTGTAAAGAAGTTTGAACTATATCGATTTATTATGGAACAGTATTTAGTGGTACCCATTAAAAACAAATACAAAGTTTTAGAACGAATACGAAATAAGACGGCTTTTTTGTAAAATCAATAAAAGTTTATTTTCACTAACCCACTTTCAATAACCTCATTTAGTAATTATATTAACAAGAAGCTTTCGCGCTGATTTTAGTTTCCTCTTCCTTTGCGTTCCTCATTTTCGATGGCAACGTTATTGAATTTCAATATAATCGAAGCGCATGTATTTATAATATTTAGTCGACGAGTGAAATACAGTAATTAATGAGTATCTGTTGGTCGGACGTGCGGTGATTAACGGTAATGAATGTGACCGGCTCGACTTACCGATATGCTGTCAAAAATTTTGTGGTGGTACGGAACGCAGAACGGTGGCTTCGCCGACGAACTCTTGATCTGATCGCAGATTTTCCTGAAAGAAACGAAACGGATTTGGTTAGAGTGAATTAAGCATTCGCCGCAGGAAACGGAAGTTGTTCTCCGCATACTTGTATTGGGGATTGCGTGGATGCGACGGGGTGAGCTTCAAGACGGATCTGAATCCCATTATGTCGCTCACGTTTCCCCAGGTTTCATTCAGGAACGGATCCAAGTAATCTGCAAAACGTCGACGAAATAAAACATCATCGAAGAAAAAAAGGGTATATTTATTCATTTCGACTTTCTTTGCTTGGTCACAATAAATAATAAAAAAAATCTCTTTGTACAGCGGGTTTCCATTTCAGTTTCCATTCATTAATTTCATATGTTTCAATCAAATTAAAATGAATAATTCGGAACAATGTCAAACATTTTATGCGCGTTTGAATATTTTCATGATTCGTGGAACGCTTTGTCGGGTTCTGTAGTACAAAATTAAATTGATGCACATGGAAATCAGGATTATATCGCCTGAGGGTCTATTTTCGACAAACTGATGTACATTCGGGTTGCAGTGCCCTCAACAAATATTTACTTTTATTTCATTTATTTTATCGATCGATTATTTTTTTTAAGTTGTTTTTACTTCCATTTCTTGACTATTTTATCTCTATCAAAGTTATAATCTAATATTTACTATGAAAAAAAAAGGAAAATAAACTCTACTTTGCGTGAGTCTGTAACAAACATAGTTTAAAGATAAGACTTACCTCTTTGTATGATATTAATGCGACGATTCGGGTCGTAGATCTCGTCGTCCACGGATATAACTACGTAATCACCAGAGTCGAGCAGCTTTCGACGCTGAAGACATTTGACGAAATCTACTAACGCAATGTGTTCCCCCACGAACACGTAAACTGAAAATATTAATAAAAACGAAGAACATTTATAACACAAAACAATAATAGAAAGAGAAAATGGTTTAGTTTAACTATGCTATTTTTCATCTTAAGAAGAAAATGCAAAAATACGTTACATTTTGTTCAGTTCTGATATTACTATTGTGCAAGCGTTTCGCAATGGACCTGCAAAATTTTCCTTCCTTTGTTCGCAAAGCCTACGTACATTTGAAATATATTTATCGCTGAATTTGCGAGAGACGAAGAAAATACAGATATATCAAAAGATTTTTATTGACGGATTCCAATGTATCCATTCTAAAAGTTCTATCAAGCATAAAATAAAATATTTAGAAAAATAATATAAATCACATAAAATATCCAATATGATTTATCGCTGCAAATTGTATTCATTTGTTTAATAAATGAAAATGTAAAAAAAAACTGTAATTACTGTAAAGATTGAGACTAAAAAGCTTCAAAAATAATTCCTTTTAATTTGGTAAATGTTGAAATATTTAGGTTAATTAAGTTCAAGAAATATCTGAGAAAATAAATAAATACCATTAAATATTTCCTAGCGCGTTTATTTTATCGTTCACCTACTGACACGCCGCGTCAACAAGAAACGATTTTGTTTTCAATTTTTCTAAATTAATCATTAATTATTCTTTATGACGTAGATTGAATGCAAACAAAATCTAGGACGCAATTTTCTACTTATTATATTAAAAAAGAAATGTAATTGCAAATTAAATACGATACGTCGCAAAGAAAGTAAACAGATTGCACAATTTTAATCCCCATTAAAACTATTTACGTTTTTTATTTCAAAGATATTGCATAATATTACTGAATAATCTATCTATGAATTATGTAATTAATATTATAATTTCTATATAAATAGTGAATGATCTGAGTGTACAAAAAATATTTTTTTTACATTTTAATAAAAAAAAATAAATTTAAATAATTTATTGATACTTTCGATTAAGTCAAATTTGTCAAATTTGTGAAATTAAGAACGTAGAATAAATATAAACCATTCAAATTGATCTAATTAAAAATTTATGTTATGAAAGCTTGTAATGAGATGTAATATTTAATGTAATAATTATTATTAATTATGCTGACAAAGAATTAATATATTCTGCTCGGAAAATAGACAGATTTTGAAATTGTTTTAAGAAAATAAAATATTTATATTTTCAATTTATTAAAAGCGACACTTCAGGATTACTTAAATATTTTTCTTTCATCTAATATTCCTTAATGGTTTCATGACATTTATTAAAGATCTCCAATGAAAAAATGCAAAACATAAAATGAAGTCTAAGGGAAATGTGAAAAATATAGATTATTCATTTACCTTGTCTTATGAGTAATTAATTTAATATTACTTCTATTTTTTTAAATAATAAATATATATGTATATATATATATAGCAATACCTCGCATAGTGCTGTTTCGATCAGTGTGGGCGGATACACTATAATACGGTTTGAAAATTTCAAAAGAAACTAAATTTTAATTGAGCAAAAGAAATATAAATTCTAAAAAATAATACACACAATTATTTTTGTTATATATAGCTCGGTGTTTCCCGAACTATCGACATCTTTGTATTCCTTTTATAATTTTCGTAATTCTGAGTATCCCTCGACATTTTTTTTTGCATATACTTTAATATTAATCAAAATATACTTGTTTTTCCTCTTTTAGTACATAAACAAAATAATAAAAAACGGTTCCACATCTAAGAGCCTTTTCCTTTTTTTACTTAATGTCTACAAATGCAGAAGAATGTTGAATGTTTTTCAGGACTTTTTTTTATTAAAACTGGATACACATGTTGTATTTGCAACAAGAATTATGTTATGAAGTTATGTTATCGTAAAGCAACAATAAAGCTATAATAATTTGAGAATGATAATATATATTTGGAATTGGAATATTAATCTTTCAAACCGTTAAAGTAAAATAATTTATAAATTTTATTAATATTCGAAAAAAGTTTGTTTCATCTAAGTTCAAAATGAAATTGCTTTAGGATAATTTATTTTAAAGCTTAATAAAAATCAATAAAACTATAAGGTAATATTATTTACTGTCTCAGAATAAATATAGGTAGAATGCAAGGATAGAAAAATGCGAGAAGCGAAATAATAAAAATTGGATGCAAGATGAGATCAGAATATATAAATTCTATAGATACAATATCGATAACTTGATATATAGTATAGAATACTAAAATTTTCTATAAAAAAACGTTTTACACGGTTTGTACTTTGAAAAAAAAAAAACAAATAAGAAACATTTAAATATAAAAATAATTATCGTAGCGTTATTTAATTAAGTTTTATTGAAATTAGATATTATTTTTTATTCAAAAATATTGTTACAATATTATGGAAATATTAAGCAATTTATAGTAAATAGGTTTTTAACTAAGTATGTTTATAAAAAGAGGAGATACATTGATTATCTCTGTTAATTGAAAATAACCAAGCTTTCTTAATAGATATGACAAACAAATTCAGAAATATGAACGTTCATTAATATTGATTTGAAATACTGAGCAAATATGATTAGTTTCACTTCTTAGTTTTACTTCTACTTTTTTGTAGTTCCTTTTTTATATTTATGATATTATTGTAAAACTAAAGGATACATTTATTAATTAGTATGACATATTTTTTATGTCGTATAATTTTTTTCATAATCTATTTATCAATGTACAATCTTTCCCGGTGGATAGACACAATTATGATGATTTGATTTTTTTTAAATTTGTTTGTTAGCTGTCGTTTTGTAGGTTAACTTTAGTATTAGTCGCCCCTTTATGACATATTTGAATAAACTTTCTTAGTTATGATACTAAATATATAGAAATAGGTAAATGAATAATCAGTTAACTTAAGGGTTGGTAACCTGCTGCTCCTGATTGTGTTGTGTCTCTTTAGTCTATGGGAGGTATCACTATTGTCTAGCAGTGATAACGCGAGATTGTTGGGATGGTTTTACAGTCAGTTCTGGTAACGGACACTGAACTTGGAGATTTCACTCTTTACGGTGTTCATATGGAGGTCATTGTGTATCATGTCGTTTGTGACGTACCAGGTGCAAAACTGAAGACTTAAATGTTTCAAATGAATAGTCTGAATAAGCGGAAAAAAGAAGAAAAAGTAGTACGCACCACTAAAACGAAATGTTTTACAAAACATTAAAAACAATCGCATTGGAAAGTATTTAACATTGACCTTCTTAAAGTGAAATCCACGTGTGTTGAGTCAGAATGTCTGAGTGAGAAGATACATTTGTCAACTGTGTGCACATTTTAATTCTCAGAAATGAATTAAAAAAAATGTTTTGTCGAGTCTGGTCTGTTACATTATCGTGATTGTTTAGTTAATTTTAAATAATTTATTACAACTTAACACCTTATTGTTAATTATTATCTTTGACTTGTTTATAATGAAATAATGTACATGCTTATTTTTATTTTGTTAATGTATTAAAATTTTATTGAAACTTAATATTGTTAATTACGTAATAAAACTATAAAAAAAATACCAATTAAAATAATTACAGTTTATTTGGATGACCTAAGAATAGTGCAATTAATGATAGCTTGATATAAATAAAGATACAATTACATCTTCATTTATATTCTGAATTATTTTATTTATTGCAAACATTTGTGGATGTAATAATATTAGGAAATTGGATGCTTTAAAATACTATTTAATATCAGTCATATTACGTTTCATATGTAAGTAAAATTTTAGCAAAGCTGTATCATGTAATATCCGCTTGAAAGAATGCAGACACGCTTAACACATAAAATTTGAACTGATCTCGTTTATTACACGGATGATGCGCCGGGCAATAAAGCCGTTGCGCTTCCATTTAAAAAGTGTTTAATATCATACTGACTTCTAGTCCTCTTGTAAGTATCCTCGACGATGAGGTCCATTTGGTCGATGTGCCTTGGTATGTAATCCGAGTAGTGCTTGGTGTCGGTAACGACCAATCCATGAGCTTCCGAGAGTTCCTTGAAAATAAAAAAGAAAAAAAACTCGCTTTATAGAAATACCTAAACCGCATTTCGCTTCATTCGTAAGGTAGATAAAATACAATTAATATAAAAAAAAACTATTGGGTGATAAAGTACCTTGATAGCTTCTGGGACTTCACTGCCTGACGCCGGATGTTGGCCAGACACTACAACGAATCGTTGCCATTTAAATGCGATCAGTAAAGCAACCACACTCTTAGATATTTTGCTTAAAGGAGGCAGTGTCCTCGCAAAGGTATAAAAAACCCTTTTGTCACTAACTTTCGTATCGCTACATTTCTGAAAGGAAATAAAATTGTCATCATAAAATACAATTAATGCATTAAAATGATTATACTTTACAACCTAAACATATGAGTCTTCATACACGAATAACGAAGATTTTATATATATTCGAATGAAATAAAAGAAGGTTTCAAATCCGGAAAAGTACAAGTTCGTACTAATTTTTTTTTTGAACCCAATTTTTAATGATAATATAAATTATAATTATTTTATTTCGACGGATTTAACGGAAATATGTATAATTGTGATTGATATAATACATAATTCTCAATGAATTGTATAAAGGCACAAAGATTAAACCAATTTTAATACGCATTATCACCTTATTTTCTGTCTGAGCACACACTGACAGCTTGAAGAATTCTATTATTGTTTTTATCTTGTCGTTTTTTTTGCTAACTTATTTGAGTACATTTTGTTATCATTTTCCGAGTGGGGAAAGGATCAATAGTCCTTTGTAACAGTTGATAATTTGTTTTTATTATTATGATTATATACATGTTTTATTTTTTTATTCGTGTATGTGACTGTTGTAATAAATGTTATTGTTAATTGTGTAATAATTTAAATTAATAATTAAAAAAAGCATACATTATATATTTCTTACAAAAAGTTAGTAATAATACTATACTATTTATGCTTATAGAATTAATTAATTACATGTTTTATTATAATATTTAATATTCTTATTATTGATTCTATTTTAAACATTGAAGAAAATTGATAAAGAAATTAATACATATGTATGATGAACATTTTACTGAAATAAATAGTACCTCTTCAGTCGCTGGGTTGTTAAATTATTGTCAAGAAGATTGACAACTAATACATTTGGATATTTGTCTAGCCTCTTTTGGTACCGGCTTTCTTTTTTTACCTTTTAGAAAATCTTTTTCATTTAAAAAATATTCTTCTCCCCTTCTCCTAGCAAACTTTTTCTTCGATATTTAATCATACATTCCGAAATTTTTCTACATTGTGTAAGATCTATAAATGTATATAAAAAAACGAAAGTCGGAGTGCAGAGTTCTAAGAATTCTCACATATTATTTCTTTCTCATTTTTAATTAAAATTTTATTGTTGCTGCTACTCGGAATATATTTTTATAAGTAGTTTCTATTAATTATTAACTTTTATATTTTTCTTATATTATTTTCAAAATATTATCATGTTTTTGCTAATTATTATCTTGAGAAACTAAATATGCAATATTTACAATTCAAATAAGTTTCCTGATATATATCGCATATAGTACAATATTTTCTAAGAGATTTATATGTATTTTTTAGCTTCTGCGGTAGTTTAATTTTGTAATTTTAATTAAAGTTTGAAGTTTCAATCTAAACTGTTTTCTCTACAAGTTTGCAACGTTTCTGATCGCTGAAAGAATGTAGACGTTTATTATTCCATACAATTGCACTAATTGAAAATATATTTCTAAATAAGTTATTTATTTATAATTTTACAATATTTCTTATTATTTTAATTTTTTTCAATATAATTCACATTTTGGTGTACATAAATTAACAACTACTATTAAATTAATCTGTCGATTTAAAATCATATGTATAGAATATTCATTGAGAAAAGAATATGAAGATAATTATAATTAAAAAAATATGTTATCATTTATTTATATCATTTATTAATGTATATTTTTCGGACATATTGCAATCCTATACAAAACTACAATATTACAATAGACAACAGAAAGAGACGTCGACTACTTTACTTTATGAGTATCAAAAAGGGATTTGAATTGTTCGAAGAGTAACATATTTCCTTTTCTATTGAAAATCTTTGTTGGTCATGAAAATATAAATAACGCCTTTTGATGCAAATAATGCGCGGGCTGTTTGTTTAAGCTTATGCATCGAAAGGCCAACAAAAAAATCATACATATAAATAGAGTGAGCAAACGGAAAACAAGGAAGCGTGTTTAGTTTAGATGGGAATCACGAAAAGCAATCCGTTAGAAAGCGACTGAAGATTGCGTAAATTGTTTGCCTAAATCAACAGTTTGTTGTTGTTTGCGATTATGAAAGGGGCTCAGGATGGATCAGCGACAATTGGGACGGGGGAGGTCGGTTGCGACGGCGGCACGTTACATTATAATTGCAAAAGTAACGCACAGTTTTTCAACTCGAGGCGGTATAAAACGGACCGCAGAATCCAATTACCGTTCGTTAATTGCTGCCCTTGCATATCGAATTCACGATATCATGCCTCTTCGCAAATGGTTTTAATTAAACATGTTACATTCGTTTAAAGGTTGTCCGAGGAAATATTACTAAAAAACACAAACGTTCCAATCGATATTAATTAATACAATGCAAGTTTCATAAAAAAAATACCTTTACGGAAGTAACTGAAATGTAAGTTCAAAACTAATTTTCGATGTATTAAATGTTTTATGTAAATAAAAAAAACATTTAAATAAGTTATTGAAACATAACTTTTATAAAAAAAATAGAAGCAAAGAAAGGCCTATTGACCCTTTTGCAAAAGTTGACTTTTTTTAAACTATTGTATTGAGATTTTATTTTGTATTTCTTGTTATAATAAATATTATACGTTTCTGAATTTCCGGATTTTTACAACACTAAGATGCAACTAGAATGGCTACTAACACCAGGAACTGTTTCACATTCACAGAGTGAAATCAGTTTACGCCTGACTCCATTTGTCTATACTTTTTATATTTTTTTATTTAAAAAAGCGTATATAGTTTGTTAATATACTGTAATAATGGTTGGATACAATACATTTTTGTTATGCTTTTACAGCAAACACTAATTATATTTGAAAATTATATGAACAAAGATGACAAAATCGAAAATGATTAATATATTCTAAATATATTAAAAAAAAAATACACATAATATGTGTACACAAATTTTGAAAATGATGTATCAAGCGCACAATCTAGGACTTCTCTTCTCCTTGTCACTCGTTAAGCAAGTCATTTTTGTTACAATTTATTTTGTTCGTTAATCGAAGTGCTCGTTAATCGAGGTTCAACTGTTTGTTTAATTTAAATAAAATAATTTTAGATAAATGGTTGAATTATAACTTTAATTTAAAAGTAAAGCATAATATATAAAGTAAAAAGTAAATCTATAATAGATATTTAAAGTAGACTATCCATTTACTTAATACGTTTTACTTCCATTACCACAACTTAACCTTATTCAACCAACTGAATCCTATTCAGTTGGCCTTTATTTAGTTTTACTAGGAAATATAAAGGAAATAATTATTGCAAGATGAATTTAATTGTTCATAAAATGGTTAGCAAATAACAAGCGGATACTCGCTATAATTGAAACTTGATATTACATTAAAAAATGTATATTTATTAGTAAAAACACTTATAAGTAAAAAGATTTTTGTTAAGTAAGTAATAAATATAAATAAATGCAAAGACAAATATATTATGAATCTATGAAAAATGCACAAACTCATCTTCATTGGAAGTGGGAAGTTTTCAAGTTATTAATGAGGACACCAGTCGTAATCCAATTTTATAAGTAAAATTTTAAGCAGTTCAGTGAAGTTATTTATTTTATTTTTAATTAAAGTTTTAAAGAGCTCGCTAATTACCTTGAAAAGTAATTTAACGGTTCCTACTTGAAGACGGATCCTTTTTAGTACTACATAAACATAGAAAGTAATTAGAACATCTGCATATCAACAATCAAAAGAAATACATGCGCATAATGCGGTTCTTGGACTGTTTGAAACCTCACAAAAGCTACTTGACTGTTCGATGTCGATTTTTGCTAAGACTTTTTGTTTGTTTATAATTTTTATTTATAATTTGCCAATATAACAATAAGCGGAATAACGTTTTTCTAATATCTATAAGGGAGATCAAGGATGTTATGCTTTTTTAGTCTATGGGGGTTTCATTATTATCTAGTTAGTAGGGTACTTTTGTAATCTAGTTTGATATCGCTCACTAAACAAAGAGATTTTACTTTGATTCCTAGTTGCGTCCGTTTAGTTGTTTGTGTTCCATGCAAGTCTGCGATCTAAAATTATACGCAGGTATTTGGCATCATCAGTTTTTGGTATTAAATTATTAAAGTAACTGGAGGATAAGTTCCTTTTTTTAGGGTGAATGTTACGTGACTAGATTTTGTTTCATTAGGTTTAATTCGCTATTTAACCATTTTTCAATTTCATTGAAGTAGTCTTGAAGCTCTTGAGTTGCAACGACCGGGTTTATATTTGATGACAGAATTACTGTATCATCGGCATAAGTTGCAACTGCGGAATGATTTGATTGGAAATAACTGCGTTACCCCAATTTCGATCCTAATATAATATTGTCAATCGCATAAAAATGATTTAATTATGTGTGTGTGGTAATAATTTGATCTTATATAATAATTTTTTGACTAAAATAATCAATTTAATTAAACTACATATTTATTTAGACCATATTATTATTCATAGTATAAATAAATGCATGTAATATAATTTTAACACTTTTACATTTTTATACACAAGTACGTTTTTTTAGGTCAAGTTCAGATAGTTCCAAGTCTTGCTCATTGCGGCATAATAAAATTTTAACTTCTTACATTATTTGCTGAAAGAGATGACAATAAAATGATACATTTATTATATAATTTATTGAGCTCGAAACTTTGTTATGATAACAATACTTCATAAAGTATTTTTTATTAAACTTTTATTATTTTTTCCATTAAAAGTTTTTGAATGATTATAACATGATTGCATTATAATTAAAATATTGAATCTTATATTAATTATCTTAATAAATTATAAATTTTAATATTCATTATTAAAACCGTGGTTGAAGAAACAATCATAATTTGAATGTATGCATAATGTGAATGTATGCATTCTAATTATTAGTCTCATAAATTATATTAATAAATTTTAATTAATTATTTCTAACAATAGGATTGTGAATTGATACATACAGCATTATTCAATTAAAATATATTTAATTGAAGTTTAG